TYMRRAWTWRGRWTYMAMSKYCYTTKRAAMYTATTTTCAAAGCTCTATCACCATCTCAATCTCATGACTTGTTTTAGGTGATCCAGTGTGGTCAAAAAAGGAAGATGATATCATAGAAACTGGAGAAAARGAAAATATGAGAGATCTTATCAAGAAGAGAGGCCGATCAGCTGTTAAAGAAAGAGAAAGGTTTTTGAAATCACCTTAACCTTAAGAACAGATTTTCTTTTTATATTACATTTTTGRGCCTTTTTAATAACAATGGGCGGAGAACACACACATTTTTCTGTTCAAATTATTCTTTGAAATTTTAAAATTGTATCATAAAACACCCAAAGAGCTGTACCAAGCTTTATAATCTTCGCATTTATTCTGACAAAAGCTTCAAGCATGTCATATTTTTTACACACAAAAAAAGGAATGTGGAACATATATTATGAATAAATATTAGACTAATCCACTGCTTTAGCATTAATTTTGTTCTGTGATTGTCAACTTGTGCTTAAGGTCTATACGGAAAAGTTCATTTTTTAGCTAAAAATGAAAGGCCGTGCTGCGGAGGCGTCAGGTGGTGTCCGGTATGGACWTTGTGGAGGAATATTTTGTATTTCGGCAAGTCACTATAATAGAACAATTGATATGTCTGTACAATGAGCTGTTTCCATAACTCACAATCCGGATCCGTGTCGACGGGATACTTATCATGGAAACGTTTGTCTAGATCCCGTTGCGTGTGACTTCGAAGCTTCATCTGGAGGACAAAACAAAATATYTTGCCCTCGTGGGAATTAGAATCCATTGTTTTGTCTTCCAGTTGGAGCTGCATTTCCATGAACTGTMAGGGGGTCTATATTCAGTAGTGTCCGGATGCGTATGAAAGGAGAATTAATCGTTCTTGGAATGTCTTACATGTACCCAAGAACTTTCAGTTTATGAACTGAAAAGGCAAAGTGCATCGACCCCATATTCTAGACCAAAGCAACACGGGAAGTGTTGTCTTTGYGTCCCAAAGATAGACAACTTTGGCGTATTCTGGATAAAGGAACACGCAAAAAAAAAGCAAATTAAGACGAGGCTCCGGGAAACAAAATAATTATCTATTGTTTCCCCTTAGCCTCGTCTTCRATTATTTKGTGYTTGGTTTATTAAGCACGATTTTGAAAGTGGGTTATTACTTCAGTCTGTGCTTCCAATACAGAAACAGTAAATGAGCGAGGACTGTATTTGTCGTCAAACTCGTTAAAGGAAATGACGTCGCTTCACTGTTGAGAGAGGTGTACATCATTATAACATTACAACTACCAAGAACGTGACAATAATAGTTACAAGATAGATTAAAGAAAAGAGGCGGTTCACGACGAACGAGGAGAGTCTCCATTCCTCTCCTGTGGCCTCGGCTTCTTCTTTGTCTAGAATGTTGTCTGTTATGATGGTGATCTTTGGATTGGTGGTCGGTTTCTGTTCTCGAAGCTTTTCTGAATTAAATGCAAAACCAAGAATTATAATCAAGAATAATGGGTGAATTTAGCGAATTTTTGAATTTAAGTAACAATGCGCGCAAAAAGCAGGCAACCTTCTATTGTTCTGCGGCAATTGCAACTTCCCCACATACGAATGTCTTGGTTTTCACGCTGATTATATATCAACCTATGGGTAACTTTATATGCGGATTTATCAGCTTCGTATTACTGATAAGAAATGAAAATTACATCCAAATTGTCGTGAAACTCTGCTTTGCCTTCAGTTTTAAAAACGGTGTTTCCTTTTGTTTACAACTAATATTCTTACAACTTGCAGTGAGGCAGAAACAGTTGTTGAAATTGGCCGGACGTGCTGCGGAAAGTAGACCTTGTGTCGTGTTTCCGAAACAAATTTACTAGTTGTCTGGTAACATTAAGCAAGGAGATGGAGTTTGAATAGCGGGCACTCGAACAAAGGGGACTTGCGCAAATGTTGTCAAAGTATTTTGTCCGGGTATGTATTTTCATCCCTTACCTTGRCGCATTCTTTGAATAACCATCTCTTGCTTCACGCGTTCAATGGGTCCGCTTAGACCAACAATCTTTCCACATACATTCATGAGAATCCCCTAAAACATGGACGAATTAAAGCTTAATTGCTRATACACGATATGGTTTGTAGGACCACTCCCTATACACCCATCAAACAGTCCCTTAAAAGCTTTTGTTTTGTTTTGTTTTTTGTTTTCTATTATTTCGAAGAAAGTCCGGCYCTTATGAACAAAATTTTGGCTCTGGAATCCATAATTCAGTATTCGGAATTTCCGGCAATGGTAATGAATTCCGATAAAACAAGGGGATTGTAAACGAGTTACTGACGATAAAATAGACCAGAATCCTTTGCGCWATGTTTGATAATGATTTTGCATTCAGGTTCCTATGCTTGGGCTAATGCTGTACGTTGTTTATTAACCAATAAGCCTTTACGTGAAGCTATTATAACATTACAAATTTGCCATTTCAAAATACTTGATTATTAATAATACAATGAAGAAACTTTGGATGTTTAATAGTAATAATTTTTATGAACATGTGTATAGTGTGTATGCTTTGTATACAAAAACGCATTGAATTTTGGAATCGAAAAATATATGTATATGAAAACGAGGTATGCATAACTTGCATGCGAAAGCAAAAATTCATGAGCATAACTTGTAACTACGACAATAACTATTTTACATATTAAAACAATTTTTAATTTTTTGTGCAAATTTTCATCTCCGTTTTCTTCAAGCATTTCCGATCATTGTATATCATCGTTAATTTTTGACCTTGTACACCTCATAGCCTAGAGATTCCTGATGCGAAACTACGAATTCACGAGCATAACTTGTAACCACGACAATAACTATTTTTCACCTTACGTATTAAAAAAAGTTTTTTTGCGAATTTTCATCTCAGTTTTCTTCAAGCTTTGATTGCTGTAAGTATGACGCCAAGTAATTCCATTCCAAGATTTCGTGTTTCCCAGGTACTTTCCTTTTAGATTAGCATGATGGCAGTTACCATACCACCAGGCACCGGTCCACTGTATAGCACAGTTTTTGRAAATCTCTAGGTCGTTATCGTCATCTTTTGTAGTAAAACAAGACGCTTGTCAGCGTGCACTCGGGGTTCTTTTTAGCGTTGTCTCTTGGTTTAATGATACATAGAATATTGGCAACGTCTTTCATTTGAAWAACTATAACAATTATATTTTTAGTGGCGCCACATTTTGTGCGATTGTCATCAATGTAGCTAAAAATTTCTTTCCAAGGAAAAAAAATCGTACAAGAACATTTATTTAGAAGAACGGCACCTTCTGAATTATACTCATGTCGGTATAGTAATTATAGCTTTGAATATCAGTAGCTTTCTATTAGTTCATGATTGGTTTTGGATAGATTAAATGGCTTGTCTATCATAACTTAAGTCACAATAAGCTTGATAAATTCGCGGTATTTTTCAAAAAGCCCATTCCGAAAACGGTCGACATCTTTTAGTGTGTCTATACCGCGAATTCTTTGTGGATTTGTAAGTGATTTGAGCGTATTTTTGAAGAAGAAGCAATACCATAAGTCCATCGACGAAGAAGCTGCTGCAATTAGCACTTGACGCATGGGACGAGACAAGACAGGCTAGGAACGCCTGGCTAGTCTGGCCGCGATTTTGGCGATGAATGCGAAAAAAAATAAAAATAAAAAAAATAACGCCGAAATTAATACTCGGCGTTCCACATATTTTGATGGTATTCTAAGGCGTCTCCAGCACTACCTGAATACGAATCAAMTCTCAATCGGTATTTATCGAATTCGTCATGAATACTAAAACTACCATATTTGGCATACTTCCTGCTTCCGTCCCAGTTCTCTAACTCAACACGTAGAATCGATGCTGTTCTTGCTGTGAGTCGATAGATATATTCGTTTCCCAACCAAAACTCGCCATTCAGGTTTCCAAAGCCTGTTTTGTATTGCTGCCAGTTGCGATAGAAATCCACCGATCCGTTGTTTCTTCTTTGAAACACAGTCCAACCCCCACCGTCGGTTGTCATGTCACAGTAGACTTAAAAGTAGTTCCGCTGTCAGGTTTTACAGAGTACACGCCGTTACGTCTCTCTCCTGATCTGTACAACTCTGCGCAATCTTTAACGAATAAAGCTAGTTTGGTTTTAGCTTCTGTATTGAACAATCCAGCACTCTTTGCAGTACACACAAACACAACCGAATCTGATTTATTAACGTTTCTTAAAATCAGAGAGCCATTTTTATTCACTTCATATCTACCAACAGGAAGTAGACCGCTTCCCTTTCTCCAACTAATGACAGGCTGAGSGTAACCTTTAGCGGAACAGTTCAATACTACAGTGTTTCCTAGGTCAGACTTATATGACGATGGAGGCTTAACTACAAATASAGGCACGTCAATGACAATCACCATAACAGATCCTATCACAGATCCAAGCAGATTTTTAGCTTTACAAATATATATTCCCGAATCCTCCTGCTTGGATTTCAGTATAGTCAGCTGTCCATTCTTGAATGAAGATCGATGTTTAGGCAAAGAACCAATAGCTTTATACCACGTGACGTTTGGTTTAGGGGACCCAGTCACGTGACATGTTGGAAGATTAATATCATCACCGAATTTTTTATAGATTGGTGCTTTGTTTAGAGTCAGTCTTGGACGGAAGTGCACCTGTAGTTTCGCTGTGGTGAGTTTGCTGCCTAGAAGATTAGAAGCTTTACACTGATAGATCCCAGAGTCATCGACAGTCACGTGTTTGATATCAAGTCTACCATCTCTATTAACTACTGCTCGTTTGTGAGGTAATGTACCGTTAATTTTACTCCAAATGACAACAGGTCGTGGGTAACCACTWGAGGAACAATGCAAATGCAAGATGGCGGACTCGTTTTCATTGACGATGAGATGTGTTGGTGAAATTATAACTGTTGGAGGTGCCAATGAAGGACCAGGATCTCCCCTTGGTCCCTTTGGACCCATTGRTCCTGGCGTTCCTGTCGGACCAGGAAGGCCAATCTTACCGGGAAAACCACGTGGTCCTCTTTTTCCTCGACGACCAGTTTTCCCAGCGGTTCCTTTCGGTCCTCTTCGGCCAGTCCCTTCGACCGGGAGGTCCTGGGATAGGAATCCAATATTTTGCAGCTTGTAGATTCGCAACTGCTTTGCCGATCTTTTGGTCGATTTTTTGTGATAATAGTTTATCAGTCAGTAACTTGATGGTACTGTTGTCTTCAGTCATAGTATCTCTTACTTTTCTTTTCAAGAACGCTCTATTTTGTTTTTCTTCTTGCTTCTGAACTACTTGTTTTGTATAAAAATCACCTTGGAGTTTCACTTTGTCGGCGTTCACGTTGTAGTGTTTGGAAGACATCTTGTCCGCYAGATTTATGTCTCTAGAATGGACTTCTTTTAGCATCAATTCCGTTCGTATAAACACGCCACAGCACAATAAAAAACTAACCATGGACAGAAAKATGGCTATCTTAGAAACTAAGCAAGAATGGACGATTTTATGTGCCATAGTGTATGCAAAGTCACAAGCAACAACACGTCGAACAGGAAGACAGACGCGATGAAACTCACTCGCTATCGTACTTTTTCCGCTTAGGTTATTGTGGCGARCTTAACCCCATTGAGACCGTGAGTGCATATACTTAAAAAGGCCGGTATAATCTTATTTGACAAAAGAGGAAAAGAGCTATCTCTTGCGRAAGACCTCGCTAAATACAATGAAAAAAAGTTGGCATTAAAAAGACAGTCCACAACARATCTATGTCAAAATGACCTATAGCTGAGGTTCTTTTGGGAATACAGTGCAGGACTCAATTCGGACGGGAGGAATTCCAAATTTGTTTATGTTTTTCAATTGACGTTTTTTTCGCGCTCTCTTTTGTTTTATGTAAGGACTTTGCAAGAGGGTGTTGTCTAGTGTTTAAAAAGACAATGCTTATAATTATTTTTTAATTAGGGAAGGAAATATTGCCCAGCCTACCTTCGCCCATCCTGGAAGTGGTGATAGTTGTTCGGGGCAATAAATCCTCATTGCTAGACACGCGACGATCATGGCCAGCGATACTTCAATGATGGTGCATGCGTAGTAGACAGCAATCAGGGGGATTGCTTTAGAAGTGGGTGGCAGCTTATTCTAACAAATGAGTAAATGGCAGTTATAAAATGCTTTCCAAGCGGTACGTGCTAATTAATGATGAATGGGACCGTTTTACATACTCCATATAAATGTCAGCTAAGYTGCCAACTTTWAAAATTCGTACATGGAAATAGTGTAAGGTTTAAAGTGGGGACAACCATCCTAGTAATCATATAAATTCGTCGCAGGTCCGAAGGTGGCGTTTACACAAAACGTGTCAAACTTACAAAATTGACTTCTCAAGTTTTGATGTGGCCTTTCTTGTGGTATCTTTAATTTGTTTAATTTTAGAAAATTATTTCCTCAAACCTTCTACTCGATTCCTAAAGTAAAAGGCCATTCACGATCAGATCATCTTTGTGGTTTTTGTAACAAAACGCATGCCTTGGTCTTTTTTTAATGGYGATTCAGTGAATTCCTTAATTTGATAAATTTTAGAGAYTCGTTCCAGTCCTACTCGTTTCTGAAAAGGCCCAATGTTATATCTTACCTTCAGCATAAGTATCAGTATTGTGAAGGATAATAGAACTGTTACACCAAATGACATCCTCTCACCAGACTCGAATGGCAGTAAAAACACCAGCAAAGTCAGTACAGCAATGAGAATACACGGAAGTATGAAGTTCATCATGTAATAAAGAGTTCGGCGGCGGAGTTTGATCTCGAACCTGATCTCAGAATAGGCGCCTTCGCAGCATTCGTACGTTTTGACCAACCGGTATGGAATGACACTTTGAAGACTCCATTCGCCATTTTCTACATAACTGACGAAATACATCCGTGAATATGTGTACATTACTACGATAACGTTCTGATCTGAACACCTTAGAGAAAATTTGGAGATCAGCAGAAAAGAGTGAAACCAAACAGAGGTGTAACCGAATTAACTACCAAGTAATCACTGTTCATTCTAATCTTCATCTGACTAATACTGAACAATCTGTCAATCAGTAAATCAACCAATCAATCACTGAATCACCAATCAATATCAAACACTGGCTGTGAGTCAATCATCATTCTAATCAATCAATCAGTGACAAGTAGTCACTAAATCAATCAATAAATTAAACAATCATGCTCAATCATTCTAATAGTAAAGTACAATAAAAGCCAACTACCAAAAGCAGCCAAAACCATCAATTATAAGCCCTTTTAACTAACCAGTGCTTGGAAAGTGAATTATAATCAACGTGCTTTTAGCTTACTCTGAAAGATCAGCTGTATCTTTTCCAGGAAAGACATCCAAAAATGACGTATGGAAGGACCACGATCCCATCCTCCATATGCACGTTTGATTATCAAAGGGAAACATGGAGATATCGATGATGCACGAGCTTACTAGGATAGCTGGATTGTGCCACGCTATCTCTCCTGTGTGCTTGATCACCACACGAGCTTGAGTCTCAGTGATGGCAATGCTGGAAGTAGCGCTATAGAAAAAAGGAAATTCACGATAAGTGTTGATTATGGAGTAATAGGCAAATGCTTTACTACTGAGGATATAGAGAGCATTTTGCGGAATTCCCTCTGAGAAGAAGATTAGTAGGGAGAAGGAAAAACAATAAGTACCATTTTGTCCGGGAAAAAGGAAAACAGCTGAAGTGATAGATATATTCTAGCTATCAATTAACGGCCGATCTCTTTGAGACACTGTCTCCCACTAAAGTATAGCATCTTCAATGTTTCTCTGTTTAGTTGCCTTGAATACACCGCAATTGTAGCGACTAACCAGTATAGTTTACCCAACTAAGATATATATAGCGTACGACCCATCTAGTTCGTAATCAAAATGCATCTTCAGGGGCGGGCCCCCCCCCCTTTTTTTTGGACGACGTAATTTTTTTTACTCCTGTTGTACTTTTATCGAGAAAACGAGTAGCATATACAACATGTGTCTGCCAATATGCTGCTTAACAATAATCTATTTGAGTAGTGTAGTCAAAGATACGTTGCAATTAAAGTCAATTTGCTTTCCGGTCAAATTGGGCATAATTTTCTTGCTGCAGACAATACCCAGCCAGCGAAAATGATCAGTTCCATCTGCTATACTTAGTTTTTAGCTATATATTACTGATAAAAGCATCCCACCCCTTATAAAATCCGCCCCTGAACTTAGTTTAGACCCAGTCTTAAAATCTCCTCATGAAACAGGGTCTTATTTACATGATCCTAAACGAAGTGAATGCATACTAAAAATTTAAAGACTCGATGGCCCATCACCATCCCTACAGCGTACTAATCARTGCGCTCGCCTATCCCCTTGCCAAGTTAATGGAACAATATAAACCCAGTGATTGACAACTACAACAACAGATATGCAATCTATATTTCAAACCTGTTGAAAAGACTGATGTCAGGCAGCCATATTTGTTGTGGATCTATTGTAATTCTTTCAATGCCTTCGTACATTGTCTTATTCCATCTGAGACGTGGATCATTCCAGTACTACACAGAAACCAAGTCATTTTAAAAGTTTGTGGCTTAAAACATTGGATGCAAAAGGGCCTACCAAATTTGGATAGTGACTTTGATTAAGCTTTGGTAATGTACTTCAAATAAAACGTTTGAAATATGGACTATGGACAGTGGGATCGATACCAGGAACAAAAAAGACAAACGAAAAAAAAGAAAAACGCGTTGTAAAGTTTTATCTCGGGACCTTTTAATTTTAATAGGCCGTTCTGGCTTTTCATGCATTAACTACTCATTACTACGTGTAATGGCCTATTGGAGATGATAATAGTCCTCAACACAGAAGAGTACAGACGATTTGAATAGTAGCAAAAAAAATATCTTAACCTGTCTTATCTTTACACTTGATTGCAAAAATTCGTTCTTCTCGTTCTGAAAAAAAGGTATTATCCATTAGAAATTATTCCCAAACTTCCTTGTGGTTACATTACTATAATTAGCTATCAATATAACTATAGAACCCTTGCATATGACGTCAAAGCGTCTTCATCTGGAGGACAAAACAAAATATTTTTAACCCATTGGCGGAACTAATTGTTTTGTATTCCAGTAGGAGTTTTATTCCAACGAACTGCAAAGGGTATGGTCTATATATTTTTATACATACCACTTTCATGATGTGATGTAATCCAACATCGATTGTTACATTAACTGCTTGTTTGTCGTCGAGGACTGGCCGTGCCTTAGCATTGTATCCAGACAAAAGGAAGCGAGATAACTGCTCCTCGGTATTGACTGTAACACACCTGGAAACTATTATGGAATACCCACGATTAGAACAGATTTTTTCCATATTAGAATACCAAGGTATGCTTCTACATTGATTTATTACTTACCGAGCTTTCGGACAACTTGTCCATCATAAGGGCAAAATTAAATTACAATGCGTGCGCGAGGATACAATTGTAAAATAATACTATAGATTTTTTCATGTTCTTTTCGAGCCTGAATGCTCAAAGGTAAGGTGCCTATTCCCAGGATTCCATTGGGTGGTATGAAGTGATCAGAAGCAACGCTATCTCCCTTGGGTAGGATACTAGTTCATGTCAAGTTACACCTTCGGGGGTACTTGAGCCAGATTCCCCTGGTACCTCAAAATCCTCACCCTATCCAAAACAGCAAAATCGTAAACTTCTGTACCCTACTCAAGATAAATTTATAAAATGTAGACCCCATCCAAGACAAACCAGGCAGTGTTCCTGTAAAAGACGTCCTCGTGGTGTTACGCCTTATTTCCCTGATAACTATGCTTGAAACATACTCTGAACTCAAAGCATCTTGTCCAAGAACACAAAGCAATAGAAGCAAGAAGGCAAACCCTGACCTGAGTACATGGAGAGCCAGTAAACCTCTATATGAACTGCGTTCCTTGAGAAACATCCTTTGTGAGTTCACTATTATGCGAGCTCAACATACATAGCTGACAAGCGAACTTGGTTGGACATATCCTGTGAAGTAACGGTGAAGATCGCGGAAAGTTTCTCGCTTCATCCATCCCCCAGGTAAATCACAATTTTCATTTATTACTTATTAGAATATCAGTGTACAGATATCCCAGAATATTCCAAAACCAAAGTGCTCTGTTGGGCGCTCTAGGTTTTTACTGTTCTGAAGTGACTCACAACAACTCCGTTTCTTCGCAATTTTTAAGATTAATTGATAACTGTGTTTAAAGCAATATTTGTAACTCCACTTATATAAAATCCAATAGCAACATTGTATTTCGGTCTTGGAATACGCCATGCGCAGTATTATACTGAATTACAGTATACAGTACACTCAATGAACGGATCTTTGTGATATAATTTAAGTATATCCGTGAGAGATAAGAAATAGAGTAATTTCGTATGAGCGGGAAACGGACGGTACTGTATTGTGACCGTAATCGTACTGTAACCAAATTCTAGTTTCAGTCATTGCTTCACAAAAATTGGCAGGTCTTCCGGTAACTGTGCGGTAACCGTGCGGTAATTTCTACCGTACACTTGTTTCCCACTCATACGAAATTGACTCTAGCATTAAACTCATAAAACGGTTAATCTTAAAATCCCATGAGACAAAATTGAAATATTTGATAGTTTGTGAACGTATACGTAGAAATTGAAAATATTGAAATTTCATTTCTCTAGATTTAGAGTAGTAGTAATTTAATGAATATTTCACGGATTTTTAAATATCAAGCTGCGAATTCATTTTGCACAACAATTTTGTCAGAAAACTCGAGTCTTTCCCAGATCGTTGATAAGTGAATACCCGCTAATATTTTAAGTTTGTATAATTTTCATCATTAAAAACTTAGGTCTGGTTTTCACAAGCGACGTTAGGACAAGCGCAGGTGAAGCAATGAGTTTGCACCATGTGTGCTTCGTTTTCACTAAAGCCACCATTAAGAACAGGAGCATGGGCATAAGATCTGAAAAAAGGAAATATTTTGATATCTTGCACTTTGGTTGAGTGCTTTTCACTAGGAAAAAAGGCCGCTTGCGTTTGCACTTGCTTCTGCGTTTGCTCTTCGTCGGTAGTGAAAACCAGGCTTTAGTCCAAATAACACCTGAATAACTTTAAGACTTAATGCTGCTAGAGAGACAACATTAAACTCCTAAATACTCCATCGAAAGTGTTAGCTAAATAAAAACATTTCTATATTCTCACAAAAATAAGAGCGAGCTGGAATGGGYTATACATTATTATTGAATATATATTTTAACTAGCCATTTAAAGTTTCTCCTTCGACAGTGCTACAAAACAACAGCTTATAATGAAATCATCTCACAAATTACAATTACCTTGAGTCAACAGGTACATTACTAAGACAGCTTTGAAGACAGACATCAAGGAAAAACAAATTTGAGCAGGAAAATGAAACTCATGCACGAAGACGTAATATATCTCCAAAGACGGTGAAGAACTGTCCCACCTGCTACACTCGATTCAACTATTGTCAATTGAAAATGTTAATTTGTGAGTACAAAACTGCACGTTTTCGTCAAAATTAATATGAATATTATTGAAATACCCTCACTTTCTTGTAAGATTCATATCGATAAAGTTTTAAAAAAATTAAATACGTGAAAATATTTTGACGGAATTTAAAGTTGGCAGTGAAGAAATTGCACGATTGCGAATGGATGTATTTTGATATTTTTCTAGTCACGATTTTTTTCTATTAAGCTTGGCAGATTTCCAACTCCTGTGGAAAACGCAATACACTGGATTATAAAACGAAATATATTAAAGCCAACCCTCGTTATGACGGACAGCTCCATGACAATAAAATGTGTCCGCTTTAGCAAGTGTCTGCTACTGATCCCCTGGAGAATTTTAACAATATAATATCAAGTGATTCTTGTCCTCTCGTCAATAATTCATCTCTAAGTGCGTAAATTAAACCTTTTTTAACAGCTCATGCTATCAAATAGAATATTTGTTTGTCATCAATGTGTTTGCTATTAATGAAAATATATTTTAGCCGACCAAAGAATTTTTATGGAGGCGCTTCATCAAAAATACCATCGACCACAATTCTTAAAGTGTTAATCATTGTGAACAGTTACTTCTTAGTGAATATATCTTTTTATCAGTTTTCTTAGGTATTAATAATGAAATACTCCAAGAAATACACGCTCACTGTCAATAAGAAATTAAAGTTTCACGGAGCATGTAATTGACAAGGACGTCATTTTTATTCTCACAAACAAGGCTGTTTTTGGCATGTGCATGGTTGTGTGAAGCGGAATATGTTACTGTAAACGTGTCGACACTGCGACATAGAAAAGTTTATCTACTCGATGAGAAAAGACATTTTTGCTGTTTTAGTTTGGAAAAGTAGTTCATTTTTAATGTAGAAGAGAGGAAGGTAAGTTGTGAAGAGCTTCTAACTGTCTTTTACAAGGAAGTATTTATCTCTGAAAGCATAAAATATGTATCATGTTAAAAAAATGGTTAAGAGTTGGTGAGATTTAATTCAAAGAGTTCTAAACGTTTTTAATATTTTGAACGTTCAGAAAAGCTCACTTGTTTTGTCTCCATCAAATGTATTTATCAACTTTCTCAATGATCCAAACTCAAGGCAAAACAGTCGTACATTACATTGTCAACTGTTGACTTCTTGTCAATATTATTTAAGAATGCAGAATAATAGTTTTTTCTTTTTTCTTTTCCTTTTTTTTGTGTGTGTATTGAGTGCTTACATCTTTAAACCAGCATGTTCCCCTTCCATAGGAATTTGTAGTTTGTATTGGTGGCAATCCTTAAATCTGAAGCAAGTGCTTCCTTGCCTGTTAGCTACGGCATTCATAATATGTCTCTACGGCTTATTCCTTAAAGAAGAAGTCTAAAATSGGAACAACACTTTTGTCATCTAAATGTTTCGGTAATTCTCAGTTTCACTCGAGACACATGCTGTTCTTGAACCGTTTCCAAGTGCCAATGCATACAACAACTGCAACAATAAACTCACGATGTTCCACACTCTTATTCAGAGACCACAAAGAAAACATCGACCCGAGGTGTCAAGCCACACTGAGCATGATTTAAACTAATCTGTTTTTTTTAGATTCCTTGACACCAATTCAATTTCAATTTGTTATGATATTTTTGTGTATATATACATATATACAATACTTCATTTTGGAGTTCAAAGCCAAAAACCGATTCTTGCACAAAAACCTTACCAAACACAAAATAGAGCACGGGAAAATGTTGTTATTACAACCTTCACCGAATTGAGACCAATCCTGTATTCTCATAAGACCTAAGGTTTAATCTTCCTGCGAACACTGGGTTAGACTCAACTCGGGGAACTGAAAATGTAAATTACGAGCGCTGAAAACATTTTCTCGTGCTTTCTCTTGTGTTTGGCATGTTTTTTGCGTAAGAAAATCTGCTGTCCAATAAATAAGCGCGGTTATTTATTGGACAGGTTAATTCGCGGTTAATTCGAATATGGAGTATTGTTCATGTCGATTCCATTGGCCTAAAAATAATTTAAAAAAATCGAGGTAGGCCGATGGATTACAATTCATATAAGTATAAAATAACCTTTATTATGATGCTTCTTTGGTTGTCACTGAGCTTGAGTGCGGAAACTTTTGAATTTGCGTATTGCGAATTTCTCCTCGTAGTCACACACAAAGGAATCTAGACGAGGCGCCGTGCATAAAGCTCAGTCATAAAATACAGTAGCTTATTATTTATTTTTTTTTATTTTGAAGGTTGAGGCGATAGTCTTCTTATTTACAGAGATTACAGAGAACACAGATTGGTTAAGAAAACCCTATTGCTCTGTATAGATTTTCTCTCACTAACTATATGTATCTGTGGATTTTAAATGGAGCCTTCTGAGTTTTTGCAGAGCTTCTAAGTAAGTTTTATTGATTTAACCATCCGAGTTTCACACCGTGGGAGACTGGGTACAATTTCGATCCCTTAATTCACACGATGGTGAGAACGAACGATYCCACTGCAACTGTAAGAAACGCACAAAGTTTGGTGGTAATCGGATCAAATGGAAACGTTTGGGAGCTTTTCAAAAATTCTAGATTYGACAAAAAAATGTATGGGAATTTAGTAAAATCCGGTCCGCGGCGTCCGGTWTTCTATACTTTTCTTCGGAAATTCCATAAGGCCGATTTAGACGACACAACTTTTGCTTACAACCATCGCATGCAACCTGCGTAAGTCATCGCCTTACGTAAGTCATCCTTGACAAACAAAATGTCGCTTATTAGATTCACCTTACATAGAAATGGAGAATAAATGGAGCCAATGTTTACCACAGACCATCTTACAGTACAAATCAGTTGTTATTGCCTTTCAACTACAGCAACAACAGCAACAACAGTTTTATTTATGAATCATCGTTATAGTTACATGTGAAGTTTACCCTCGCAGTTAGTCTAAGACTATTCGAGGCGAGGGCGATAATGAAGGAGAATAACTAGTATAAAAATGTCAAAACTAATGGCTACGTTCGGTCGTGCAATCGCCGTTCGACAATTGACATCAGTCGCCATTTTATCCTTTTTTGAAAAAGCTATATACATTTTAAAAGCATGCGCATTCGTTCTTTTAAGCCTCTTCAAGCAATAGTTGGGCGGTCTATGGAAATTCTAGCGTTTGTTCTGAAAATCGTTTAATATTGACCTGATCAACGCCAAATTCGGACAGTTAGTATTAATATCTTATTAACCGAGCGCGAGGGCCGTGCGGGACGTTATGGACCGAAAACGAGGTTCCATAACTTCCCGTACGGCTCAAGCATGCGAGGTTAATAAGATATTTATTACATAGCATTTTCAGGGAAAAATTGTAAAATTTATAGAGAATCAGACATAAAAATACGTTTTTATTTGTTCTTTTCTTGTCATTCAAAATAAACTATGGAAAAAAGGAAAGTCTGTGAAACTAGGACTAAAAAGAAGACTCTGCTTTATACATTACAAYTACGAAAAGAGAGAAAGCGAGCTTTTTTAATGATAAAAAAAATTTTCTCGTTTCATCTGGTCCGTACGGGAAAGCACGACCGCTCTTTAGCAATGAAATCTTATGTTATATCCTCGCTACATAATAAGGTCTAATRATTCTCAATACGTTCTTTTGTTCTAWAATGGCCGTATTAATCCATCATGCCAATTAAGGGACTTGTACCTAGTCTCCCACGGTATAAAATCAGTCAATGGCAATGGGTTTTATATACACAGGAAACCCAATACCCAATGCTGCTATTCTGTATCACTGCGCATGTCATAATCATGGTTAACTTTGTTGTGTGACAGGTCACTCCAAGATTAGCTRTATTCTTCGACATTTATTTTGGTATGAGCGACGAAGACGTTTCAGGTCGAAGTGGTTTAACAGAATGGTGSGATAAAAAGGTARGTTACCGTTTGTTT